ATATATATATATATTATATTATATTATATATATATATATATATATATATTATATAGGGGATAAAAAAAGAAAGAACCAAGAACATTAAAACAAGGCGAAAACAATCATCCAGTGTTTAAGCTCCAAGTCCAAAGAAAAAAAAACTCAAAACAAGTAAAAAGACAACTATGTAAAGTGCTCAATACACTAAGCAGAGCAAAACCTAAGATAATCCTAAGGAGTCAGGTGAACCTACCTAGGTTTTCTCAGTGTAAAGCCGGCTTTACCCTGTAGATCCATTTAGGTGAAACCTATGTAGGTTTGTCTGGCTCCTTAGGATTATCTTATATATATATATATATATATATAATAAGGAAAAGACTTATTTATTTATTTTTATATATATATATATATATATATATATAATAAGGAAAATACTTATTTATTTATATAAGACTTAATTATTCATCATATAATCGGTTATAGATTTATTTCAACACTGTCATCAGCTTTGCTTTTTGCTTAATCTGTATAGGAGATGTACAAACTGGAATAGTTTGTCAGTAAAATCCATAGCATGTAACAAGAGAACAAAGGTTTGTTTTATTTCCTATATTCATAACATTTCCCCCTGTAGATTTTGGTACACCAGTATTGCCCCTCCATCCCTTTCTCTCTCTTTTTAGCAATGATGTGAATCTTAGTAGTATTATTACTCATCTCTACATGGCATTTAAACAAAAAAATACATCTTTATTAGATGCAATGTTTTTTTGTCAATATTTATTAGTTACTTTATATTTCAAATTCAATTTTGTTGACCTCCTCTGGCTTTTTTGCACTTATTTCTTTACACGGAACTTTTGTAATTTGTTTGCTTTGCAAATGAACGTTGTAAGAACCATTCCTATTTGAACACATACGCCCTTACATAACCAACCTTTATCTTTTGGGGTTTTGTTAACCCAGATAAAACAGTAGACATTTTAAACCATAATTTTTTTTCTTTTTCTCTATTCTTTTTCTTTGTTCTTTCCTTTTCTTTTTACTCTTTCCTTTCTTATTTCCATTTTATTTCTAGATTCTTTTAAAAAATTTTTTATTTTCTTAGATAAGCCAAAACTCAAAATTTGCATCTGTCTGTGTCTTCTGCAGTGTGTGTATCCCTGCTGTTGTAAACTATAGCAGACACTCATAAGTCTGAGGAAAAATGTTGACCGATTTAATGCTCTGGTTTTGTTGATTCACTTCCTCTATGCTTAGTTTAATTACCTCCCTTTGATAACTAACCTATTTAAATAGACTTAAAAATTGAAAACAATCTGCTCATGTAGGAGTTTTAAGAGAGTTGTAAGCTTTACAAGCTGTAAACTTAATGAAATATCTAGTCCATATACTTAAGATATGTTAAGGTCTTTTCATTTACTTGTAGTGCACAATTCAGAATTCAGTTCTTTTTCTCTTTGCTTTTTATGCATCATGTCCCTACAAGACATCATGTCTCTTCACAGATACCTTTATTATCTGTTAATTACAATGGCTTCTTAGGAAAGATCGTGGAGTGTTTTCCTGTTTTGTTATTCAGTTTTTTCCTTCTCAGTTTTGTTGCCGTCCAATGCTAGAGAACCTAGTCTACAATGCTATTTAACCCATAACTTATGGGGAAAAAGATAGATTTATACCTTTCCTCTGGGTATTTGTGTGAAAATGAATGCAGAATTTGAACTGATATCCTTTACACTGCCAGCACACATCCCATTAAGCTATAGCATTTAAAAAAAATCTTTTTGAAATTATCAGTTCTGATAATGTTTATTAAAACATTTCTCCCATTCTCCCAAAATATAGAGAAACATGTTGCATATAATGTTTAATCTTCAATATATCATCACTAATCTTGATCAGAAAATTGGATACATTCCTAACCTAGAAACAATTATTAGTCTCCTCCAAAGCTGCACATTCATCTTTCAATGATATTTTGTAGTTAGGTGTTAGTGAAGAAATATTTATTTTTGTTTTAATTCTCAAGTGTTAACTTCGGAACAGTAAAACTAATGAGAGCCACTATTTACATTATTTGGACTATTGTTCTCATCTTTGTTGCCATATTTATCACAATGTTTTGGCCATTGTATGCTCCAGCCTTCTTCAAGTGGTTGGAATGTTGAACTGAACCCTTTATTTCACTCGCTGGGGTAGACTGTTCTAGTTCCATGTGCCATGTCTAATAGATGTCAGTTATCAGTTATCTCCTGTTAATTGACCTCTCCAAGTTCTCCACTGTCTTAACCAGGTATTGAGTTCAATACCTGGTTATGGCAGCGAGCAAAATAAAGGGTTCAGTCTGACGTTCCAACCACCTGAAGAAGGTCAGAGTCTGAATAATGTAAATAGTGTACATAATACTTCATCTCAGAAATATAGACAGATGCTAATGAGAGCCAGATGATGATTTGGTACTCTAAACTAAACAATGAAACATATATCATTCATCTTGAGTGATTAAGAGAAAATTTCTTTAAGAAGACTCATAAATATAGCTGTTTGGAAAAAATATGTAGATTTCTGATTGGTTAGGTTTTACCAATATATCAACCATTGTTAGGTTATTTAATGTCAATATGTCTTATAGGATAGCAATTGCAATGAATTAATAGATAAGTAGACATAAGTCCAGTTTTCACTTGAGTATGTTTTATATCCAAACCTGCAAATATCTGTCTGGAAGGTGTATACATCAGTGGATCTGCAAACCAAATCTGGACACACAGTCTGGAGAAGTGGATACACTGGAAGTTGGCTACATGGTGGCCAGGTCAGTGATGTAATGATGGCAGACCTGTGCGTAAAGAATTTATAGTGGAAAGATTGTTGCACAGGGGTAATCCTATTCTCTCAGCCTGGGAGTGTTTATCTCATAAACAACTTGTTACAACTGGAAAACATCCAGGCTACTGTAGATGACCAGGACTTCTAGACACACCCCACAGCACTTGTTGACACCAACTTCATGGTTGTTGGATCTGAAGGAAATCAGTCTTGATATACAACAGGACTTACAAACCCAAAATTATTGAGGGTGTGAACCTGTTGACTACCCTCACCCAGTTTGCCTGATAGTTGAAGTGGTTACTGGGGTGTAGTCACTGTTGTGTTATATATGATGATTGATTACAAATTCAATCAAAGTAATAATTTCCTTTGATAATTTCATTGCATCAGTCAGGCAAGTTATTCATGCCTTTGTGTTTCAAGGCAAAAAAAACATTTCTGTCCTTTTAACCTCTTCGTAATTGATCTACTATTTCCTATTTAATAAATGCTGTAAGACTCTGCAAAGAGGTTAATCTAACAAAGAAAATTTGGAAAAGTAGAATGGATGAGGTAAGGCATCCATGTTTGAGCCCAAATTTTTCTCTATATGTATTATGCAATGTAAGGTCTGATATTATCATAGAGTAATGTACCATTTTGCTCTCTTTCAACAAAGACTGGTGTAGTATTTTCAGCTTATGACAGTGTCTCTTAAAATTGACTATTTCATTTCAAAATAAACACTTAATTATAAGCAACATTTTTCATACATCACCATAGAGAATTACTTAAGGTGTAATTCTAGTTTTGTTTCAGACACAGGCTTTTCCTTGGGAGCATAAACATTGTCTCTTTTGCTGAATATTATTATAAAGAAGACATTTTTTTTATCACTGGTGATGATTCTTTCCAACTCTGATTAATTTGGGATCTGTTCAGATCATGTTGTACCATTTGGGAAATTCTGACACGTTGATGGAGGTGGATTATAATTATTGTATGGATTGTAGTGAGCTGTGATGCCATTTATTCTGTCAGTTGAGGAAACCTGGATTGTTGATTGAAATTGTTTGAAGGTAAAATTCCTTGACCAAAGCTGAAATTTACTGACAGTTAATATTCTACTTCCATAGACAATGCGAATATTCCTTGTCACTTTTTGAAGTTGACAAGTTTTTTTTTTTTTTTTTTTTTTAATTCATGAAGCATGCAGTGTCTTCAAAGGGTCACATCTACATGCATATCTATAGGTCATATCAATTGGAAAACTATTCAACTTGTTGGCATTAATTGTTCTTTAGAGGCTGAACATTAAATAATTGGATTTTGGAAGTTGCCTTTTGTGACTGTATTTTGGTCTGGATGTCAATTTCACAAATATGATAAGAATATCATCCTAACAGAAAATGAGACAAAATCCATACTATAGGATCTTCTATTTAGTAAAATAAATTGTCTTCATAAAAAATAAAAAGATTTTAAAAACAAATATTCTTATTTTTCCACTTTCTTTTCATATCTGATTACATATTAGGTTATAGATAATGTTTAAGGGGTTTGAACTTTTGTTATGGTTTTCTATACACTAGAGGCCAAAAGTTTAGATCTACCCTCTGGATTTTGAAGAAGCGCCAAAAAATTGAAGGTTGTGTGCCTTTTTCAAAATCTTTCACCTTGAGCCAGAGAGACTTCCTCTTAAAGGGTTTTATCATATATTCAATAATAATTAATTATAACAAAATTAACCCATTACTGTATAAAGTTTCTTTTTAGTGCTTTTTGCCAATATACCTACTTAGGGCTGGCACATTTTAAATTTTAGGTGTCCCACTCTCTTTAAGTTAAATAGTTCCAGCATCCTAGCTTAGTAGCAGTTAATTAAAACCAAAGAACATTTCGAAATTTATTTAGAGAGTGGTCCCAAACTTTTAGTCTATAGTGTGTATTCTGTAATAAATAATCAATTCTTTGTTACACTCATTGTAGAAATATTTTTGGATTAAAAACAATAAAAATAATTCTTTTTGAGAAGAAGTAAGAGAAATAGACTCCAAAGATCATATAATGAGAATTAAATCCACTAGTAGCTAATGAATCAGGTCTATTTGTGATGCCTGAAATAGGGGGGGGATCTTTTTTCATTAAGCAGCCACTGTCATTTCCCTGTTGCTCTCTATGCTTGTTTTTCTTTTTCTCTTTTTCAGCTGTACAACAAGAGAGAAAACCTCCTGATTCTGAAAAGAAGCTTCCTACAACCATGGCAACGTCCACTCAAAGAATTTACATCCGAAAAGATCTGAACAGCCCAGCTGCTGCAATTCCAAACTTCACTAATCGAATTTCAGAAATAGAGGTAAATGCTTCTTCTGACCCTGCCAATATAGAGACACTACTGTGACTATTGTAACTTCATAATAAGTACTAATTACTTGTAGGAATCTATTCATGGTCATAATACATATACTGCTGCCATTTGTCATGCATATCAAGCAGCAGTAACAACATCAGCAGGTAGGTTAGGTTTTAGCTTCCAACATTTGGGAATTTAATGAGTTCATTTCTAGGCCAGGCAGTGCGTACTTGGACTCAGTGGAATCAGGGCAGGCAGTAACTGAGCAGTAGTAAAATAATAACTAGACGTGATATCCATGGTCAGCAGAACGAGAACAATCAACCCCCTTAGAATAAATAAATGGTTCAGTTTAAAATTCCCTGTAGGTTATCCAAATCAAAATACATCTGATAAAGACCAGAGGTCACAACGGCTGAAATGTTGTGATAACAACAACAACAACAAAGATGAGGAAAATAGACCGAATGTAAACAGTGTAAACAATGATAACTTCTTATCCCAGAAATTCATTTTAACTGTTGAGTTCCCAGCCTAAATGTGTGTATGTTGTTTAAAATTTTTCTTATATCTTTTCCAATTAGATGACCTTTTCACTTTTTAAATGTACACTGGAATAATGGTTGATCCAACACACATTGATCCTCTTTAGTAATTCAATACAGCTTATACAAAAAAACTCATGCTAACTACTACAATAATCAAATATTGAATGGTTAAGATTAGGTATCACAGATGAAAATTTCAAACAGGTACTAGGTGTTATCTGATTGTATCTTCTTAATCTACATGATTAAAGAAACTTAGCAGTTTTTATTTCCTCAAAATATCTCAAACCGTTTAATTTTGGCAGATTTATTTTTATTTTTACACATGTGCTCGGCTTAGCCATTTTTTTTGTCTATTATGAATTAGGACAAAATACCATATTTGGACTCCTATATTTTAAAAAGTAATTAAGAACAACAGTTAAAATTATACTAGCTTGTTAGGTACATAACAAAGAAATTAATAATAAAAATACAGATAGTAACACTGCATATTTCTTAAATAAATTCAGTCTGAATATACAAATTTTATAAATCAAAACTTCTGCAACGACATGCAAACAACTCATAACCTGAGGTTTGACATTTCATAAAACTGGAAATAAGACCCACATTCATCCCAACTTTCAAATATCACATTATGATTATACCAGTAACATGCCTAATTTTGGCGGGAGTGATAGAATGGATATATTCTGGATTATTCCACTTCAAAATTGAAAAAAATTGCTTTTTAACCTTTTGACATAAGGTATTTGAAAGGCTGATTTTAGACTTTCTTGAATTATGTCATAAAATGAATACTTCTTACACGAGAAACACCAAATTTCATATCTAGCCATTTCTGGGGGTGCTCTTTCCATTTATCATGGTTAAAATGACCTAAAATCAACAGATTAGAATGTATATGAATAAGATGCTGAACAAGTACAGTCCTGACTCAACATGTACAATTTCTGAACTGTAGAGAGAGAGAGAATCTTAACACTTAATAGTCATCTACAAATTATTGTCTACGTTTTCTTACTGAATTTGAGTTTATTTGCAGTTCATAAAAAATTTACACTAAATACAATCAGGGATAAATATAAATTTAGAGTCATCCATACACCTGAGTAATAAATAAGGAAGGACTAAAATATTTTCTCAACAAACCTATTTCCACAGTGGTCTTTAAAAGTGACACATTAAAATATTCTAGAATAAAATAAACAATCATAATCCGTATGAAATAAATATTACCAAGAAATAATAATAAATTAGGAAAATGAATATTAAATCATAAATTTGTATCTAGATAGCAATAAATCGTAACTAAAATCCATTCATTAGATAATTTAAAAAGTAAGAAAATTGTTTGAAGGGGTAACTTTAAACAAAACAAAATGTTACTTGGTAACTGAAATGCTGATAATTATTGTGAGAATACTGCAAAAATATAAAAGACATTCTAGAATTTTTTTGTAGAATATTTTTTTATCTCATTCTTTGAATATGAACATTTTTTGAACAATAATTCCTATGTTTTCTTTTTGTGATTTGAATCTGAGCACAAAGTAAACAAATCTATTTTTGTATCATATTTTTTATGACAAAAACGGTTTTTAAATCCCATTTACATTTTACATATCATAGAAAATTAATATTTAAAATAAATTTTTATCAATTTCCTTGAAAATTTCCCTCCATAGAAAACATGCTGGTCAATTCTTTTGTGTCCATGTTGACGCTGTGTATTGAGTCTCGTGTGGAGTTGAAATGATGGCCGAACGAGTCACACATGGTTACACATAATCACACATTCACAAAATGGAGCTATTGTTTCATATTTGATTTTGATTTAGTTTCATAGATTATTAAATGAGTGTTTTATTGATATATTTTCAGTGTTTTTACTTTTACAAGAAGCATTTGAATTTTATGCTCAAACTTTTCATTTGAATTGTTTACAAACTTCTTATTAAAATTAAAAAATAGAAAATATATGAAAATGAAGCTTAGAATGTTAACTTTCGAACTAATGTATTACCAAAATTGTAATAAATCCTGTGGAGTGCGCAAGTTACAAAATGTGAGGAAGTCTAAATTGCCATCAGTGAAAAAAATGGCTAAAATTTTGCAAAATCACCAAAATGTCTCTATTCAAACTCTAGAAATAGATATACCTGGGGGACTTGATGATGATAAATATTTACTGGGCTTCTTGTAGATTGAGAGGACCATTATTTAAATGTCCAACTTCATCTGAATCTCTACTGCTACAGTTCATCTTCTAAAAAGTATTTCTGTGTATATTTATTCAGGATGAAGATCAAAAATGTGGTGATAATCTTCTTGCCAACCTCCAGGAGCGACTGATCCATACTGACCAAGGAACTGTGGTCCTGAGTTCTACTCTCACTAACTCACAAAAAGGCAGCAGTCCAGGTAAGCTAACCAAATACAACAGGTAGACAAATTGGTGGCTCTACCCATTTATTTCTCTCTCTCTCTCTCCCCTTGTCTATATCATTAAAAGGACATAAAATATACAAAATATCCTTTTTGTTTATTTAATCTTCCTTTTCTTGTTTTTACATTTAATTTCATCTTCTAAAATATATATTAATTTATTTCTGTTGTATATTTTTGGGTTTATGCATTCATTAAATGTTGCAGTTGTTCAACATATTTTCTAGTTTTACATTCTGTTAAAATCTGGTTATTTTTTATATTACGGTATTAACGTATGACTGAAGTAGTTATATACCATCTTTCTTTCATTGTTATGTTAATTGTAACAACAAAAAATAATTTGGTGCTGGACTATACAGTCATTCTGGTTTATGTGTTTTTATTTACTGTATTTGATGACCTTTAAGACTCAACAAAAAGTTTCCAAATGTTAGGCTACACTCAATGAATTGATATTATGAATGAAAGAGCATTTCTCTCACTTGATATGCCATGTCCTTTCAGGATGTTAGGTAATCATGGCTCTCCCCATCTTCTTGCTTTTTGTTACTCTCATTAATACTCATTTATGATTTCACTTTTGTTGGTATGTTACTTTCCCTTCATCTGCTTTTCATTATTTCTTCTGCTTTCCATGTCTTGTGAGTGTTAAATTCTCTAAGCCTTTTTTTAACATTTTGTCTAAAAAGTTTCAGCTGTTTATTTTTTTATTGTTATCAAGTTTCATTTTATTTCCTATTCTATTTCCTCATTTGTCACCAACTGGTTAGAATGTTTGCTTTCCAACCGTGAAACCTGGGTTCAAATCTCACCATTGTTGTTTTATCAGGAGGATAGCTTCTTGATGTTATCCGTCTTTGTCAATCCCAAAATGTGGCACTTTTGGAAAGTGCCTGAAAACCAAGCCATGAGTTGACTCAAATCTTGTGAGTGAAACAGGGTAGACAGAACTGATTGAAAGCAGTCAATAGTTGTGTTAGCCCAAAATCACAAGTCATCATGATTGAGGGTTTGAGCATACTGGCATTGTTCAAACTGCTGATATTTTTTCTCCCCCCCCTCCCCCCTAGTTACAGTATGGGCTCTGAAGAAATACAAATGTGCCTGAGCATTCATCTGCCATAACAGATGTGTGTGCTTGGAAAATGAGGGACCAGTTATTATTTGTGTGTGTAAAATCAGTTTTCAAGAGTTATAAACCCTGGGGTTCAAGCATTTTTAAATAAAAAGTCAACCCAATCCACTTCTATGTGTGGACCTATAAGGGTTAAGCACTAGGGGTTTTGTAAAAACTTGTATTCAACTATGTAAGTATTAGAGATAGTACAATCCATGCATTTGACAATCAAGACTATGTCAGTTCATATTTCTGCCAAAATAATCTTTTCTTTACTTTTGTGAATAAGTGACCAGTGGCGAGGGAGCAACAAAGAATTTGTTTGCATTCTTATTCATTATGTTCAGATCATTTAAACTCCATCTTGAAAGGCTTCATAAAGAAGTTGGTTAAACAGCTTTTGTTGTTGATAACATTGTGTTTAAAAGTGACATGGCTTGTTTTTTTATTCTGTATAATTGTTTAGATAGGAATTAAGTGAATATTCTTCAGCCAATTGCTTGCTCTTGTAGCTAATTGTTTGCTGATTATTTCAACAAATATTAACAGTAAAGAAATAATACAAAATGTTTGTCAGGTTAAGCTGCTGGTATTGATTTTTAGGTGGAGACTTACATTCACTAAGTGAATGTCATGCTAATTTGGTGATATTTTCATAAATGTCACTCACAGTAAACAGCTGACTTGATAAAGAAAGCCATAGGATGTTTTACTTAATTTATAGATAATAATTGCTGTTTTATGCTCTTTTGATATTTTTAAAAGTCTATTTTTTTTTTAATAATCAAGATAGCCCTCTTTATTTAAACTATTTACATGTAGACTATTGTTCTCATCTTTGTTGTTGTTATCACAATGTTTCGGCCAGTGTGCTTTCCGACATTTATCAGTAGTTTATCGATCTGGGTAACCGACAAAGAATTCCAAAATGAACCCTTTATTTAATCTATGGAGGTAGATTGTTCGTTCCACTGCCCATGTCTAGGAACATCTCGTCTAGTTCTTATTTTTAATACTGTTCAATTATTATTGTTTGCCCTGTTTCCACTTAGTACAAATACACACTGCCTGGCCGAGGGATTGAACTCACAATTACTATGTCACCAAATTCACAAATCAATGCGTTAATCCACTAGGCTATCTTGCTGCTTCTCTTGAAAAGAACCTTCAATCAGTGGTTAATTGGGCCAGGAAATGGCCTGTAAATTTAAATACCTCTAAAACAAAGCTGTTTTCATTTAACCACCTTAGAGAAACTCCCATCAGCATGGTTGATGCTAAACTCCTGGAGAGCAACGCATTGCATCTGCTTGGTGATTACATTGAATCAATAGGTACATCTACTGGGAGGAAAGTTGGGTTATTGTGTCATGCCACAAAACCTTTCTCATCAGAGTCCATCTTGTACATTTACAAATCTCCCATTGAATACTGCTGCCATATCTCATCTGGTCTGGTCTTGTCTGGTGCTTCTGCCATTCATCTTGAGGTTCTTGACAAAATCCAAAGAAGTATTTATAATGTAATTGATCTTGAGTTGGCATCTCAACTTCAGATACTTTCTCAACAATGTGACAGGGCTTCCCTCTGTCTTTTCTATAAATATTATTTGTGCCAACTACATGAATTTAAGTGTACTACTAAATTGGTCATCTAGGTCCCACCCATTTACTATTGAAATATCTAAATGTAGCTGCCACTTCTACTCGCACTTCCTGTCTGTGGAACTGCCTTCCATTTACTCACTTCCCTGGTAACTATAATCTTCAAAAAATTAAAAGCAATATCAATCATCATCTTCTATCTTCTTGAATCACATTCATCTTTTGTCCTTTTCTCAATCCTCCCTATACTCAGTCTTTTGTCTCACTTTCACTTCCTGTAACCCCCTGTGTACTAGTGGCATCTCTGCCTTGCTTAGGGTGAAATGATTAAACAAAAAATGTAGAGAGGACAATAGTCCTAATGTAAATAGTGTAAATGATAACTCCTCATCCCAGAAATTCAGACAAAAATAGCCCTTTTTAATTGAGCTCTTTTTTTTTCTTCTTAAGGTTTGCTAATTCTCTTCAAAATAGTCTTCTCAAACCTTATATTTTCACCAATCCTCTTAATTTTGCTTTATCAACTTCTCAGTCTAATTACTGGATGCTGTATTTATGTTCAACATATAGACATTTTATATATATATATATATATATATATATATATATATATATATATATATATTCCTGTGTACATCCTTTCATCTCATTTTGTTCTAAATGTCTCTAGAAATAAGCCTGTAATTTTTAAAATCAATATTTTTTATTATATTTAGTTAATATAAATGCAGAAAATAACCAAAATTCAAATAAATGAATTTTAGAAAATCCAAAAATCACAAGAAAAGTTTTTTTTTCCATCAAACCATTTGAAAACAAAGAATAAAAGTAATTATGAAAAACATACTTGTAGGTAATGAAACTGGATTAAAAAACAAGAAAGTTCAATTAGTTATTAATTTTACATTTGATGGTAATATGAGGATGATATAATAAGTCCGTAGCCTGACACAGTTATTAGCCAATTTTTTATCTCAAGTTTCCATTGTATAATGTTCAATCTTTATGATGAATACTTGCCACTGAATTAAGTACATTGACGAGGAAGGAAATCATATTGAAAAATAAATATTTGTTGTGTAAAATAAATCCTTTTTTCATCATTAGGCTACGGACTTATTGATGTACCTATGTACAGTCATCCTCAGTACATTAAGCAAAACAGGTAATTATGTTTGCTTTAAGTAGTGTTATAATTCTCTCTCTCTTTATCAATATCCTACCTCTTCAATATGTAGGTGTTTATGTCTCCACAGTTTCCTTTCCTTTAATACCTGTAAACTGTCCATTGTCATGATTTTTCTTGGAAAAGATAGTAAAGTTGCCTTCTCTATGATTTTGAATTTAGAGTTTTCATTCTTCTAGACTGGTTGCCAAGGTTAGAGAACCAAGTCTACCCTGCTATTTAACCCATAACTGGGGAAGAAGAAATGAATTCTTACCTTTCTCAAGAACATTAGTGCAAAGTAAACACAAATTGCAATTCTGCTATTTTTATTTTCTGTACATCCATTGTGATATAATTAAGTTTCTTCCTGATTCTTCACTATCTCTAAATTTATTTTTTTAAAAATTGAACTTTCAACTTCATTTATATTGAGTTGTTAACCTAATCTGCACTATAACTGGGGGGTGGGTGGAATGTGTTTGTCTCTCATTATTTCTATCTTTCTTGCATGTAAAACATTCTGTACTCACAATCTCCCAACTCTGTATTCACCTAACTAACAAGACATCTATCATGGCTGTTTCTCAGCTCCAAGTCTTATTTCAGATCTAAGCACACTTGCTAGTGTAGTTACTACATTAGCATCAATGGGAAAAAATAGTGGGCAGGAACCAGATTCTGATCCTAACAGTTCTGCAGCGACAACCACTCCGACTACCACTAGCAGTAATGGTCATTTATCGTCCCCAAGTGAGAGCACAGATTCAGTAGTGAAAGCCTTTGATACATTAGCTCGAGCAGTCAACCATCCACAGTCACAAAAACAAGAAACGCAGGTAAATAGAACTTGTAACCTATGCATATTTTTGATCTTCACTTTCAGCAGTCTATGTTACTATACAATATTGATGAGTTTAATAACTTTGTTTTTGAAAATATTAGCAAGGTACTTTAATATTATAATGCTCCGTTTCTGTGTAATGCAATGTAAAAATGAAATTGACTAATTCAGCAGAAATTAAGTTAAAGGGAGGTAACTTATTGCTATTTTGGATTTTTACGATCAAGTTAAAGTCTGTAGTTGATTTGCTACTGTTTTCACGTGGTGGACAAATATTTTCATTCTTTTGATACCTCTTGTGAATGTCTTATAATTAAAAAAAAAAAGAAGCTTATTGTTTACAAACATTAACAGTATTAATAGGAATATTATGTAAATTAATTAGATGATGCATTTTTGCTAGTATTTTCTTTGTCTCATTTCTGAAGCTCTCTACCATAACTCACAGACCAGCATTCTATAAACAGTACATCATCATTATCATCTTCATAGCGGTACTTTTTGTTGAGGTAGGACAGAGATTAACCTCGCACAAACATGGTGAGCCTGACATAGTCCACAGTTGTGCAGCAGTGGCTCTAGATTGTCAAAGCCTAGCTTCTCGAGAAGTGAGGATGACCTGACCTGACCTGACTCCATCCTCAATGGACACACAACCCATCCAGCATATTGTGGCCTTGTCATTCTTCCACAGGCAGTTGAAGTCTGCTGTTGACAGGGCCCATGTCTCACTGGCATGCAGCATGACACTGTGAATACAGTTGTTGTTGTGCCCATGACCTCTGGTCTAAGCCAGCAGTGGCTTGTGAGGATAGACAACAGCTGGTGAAATTTCTTCCATGCAACCTGACCAAGTGTGATAGTGACCAGATCACATCCACCGCCTAAGGTCTAAGTGCCACCCAGATAGCAGGAGACAACCTCCTCAGATTAGTGGGTGGCTGTCAATTGGTCATGGTTCACCTCTGCAACACTTACATTGAAGTTGGGATCAGGCACAAGTCTACAGCACTTTTTCTGGACCTAGCATAAGCAGCTGCATAGTTTATAAATAATGAATAAACCTCCCATGAGATTCAAACTCACATCTCCAAAGGAGGCCCATTATTAGGTCCTGAAGACCACCAACTACAAAAATTCTAATTTAATGATATGGCTTTAGGGTTAGGTCAGAACTTCCTTAGCTGATGGTTTTTATGTGAAGAAATGCGTTAAAAGAAACCACTAACCAGAAAGGAAAATAAAAAATATTTTTCTCATAAGTGTCTCATGTTGGTTTAAAAGTAATTTGTGTCAATGTTTTGTTTTTTTATAAGAATAATGGATTTGATGCCGCAATCAGTTTTATGCAAGTATAAAAAAGGAGAAATAATTTCATTTAATTTGTTTTTCAAAATATTTTTAGAGTGAACCTGTTGATGCGGATGAGCCATTATTGGACATAGAAGGTGAGTTTTTTGAATGTTATGTTTCCCAGTTTTGAAAAATTTAAGATTGGAGAAAATGTGGAGTGGGGAGGAATAATAGCAAAATGCTACATAGCATATGGGCTAGAAATTTGAACAGGCCTACAAAAATTAGGATCAGTTGATTCGTCCTTCCTTTGAATATTGTTGCCACATATGGTCTGGTACTCCTGCTATATATTTAGAGATCCCTGATAAAATCCGAAATGATATTGGTCCTGACCTGGCATCTTGGCTTCATTCCCTTTCCTATCATCGTAATGTAGCTTCCCTGTGCCTTTTCTATAAATACTTTCATGGTAATTGTTCTGATGAACTTTCCTCTATGATACATAGACTTTATGAATTTAAGCGCAGTACTAGATTGGCGGCAAGGTCTCATCCATTTACAGTTGAAATGGCCGCTAGATGTAACTGTAAGTTCTATACTAACAGTTTCTTTTCTCACACTTCTCGCTTGTGGAACACTCTTCTGGCTCCATCCTTTCCAGTCAAGTTTAATCTTCAAAAAATTTAAATGCAGTGTCAATAGTTATCGTCTGTATTCTTAATTTTTATTGTTTTCACTCCTTAATAATGCTTTTGTTTTAATTATATTTTCACACTCAGTAACTTCCTGTGTCTTAGTGACTTTGTTGCCTTTCTTGGGGTGAAGTGATTTAAAAAAAAAAAAAAAAAGAAGAAGAAATATACATATGAACCACTCTAATTTGTATGGACGGTTCTTGTTTTAGCGGACTGACAGAAAATACTTAGAGGTTTGTGCTTGATTTCTTTCATCTTTTATTTTGATAGAGATAAGACAATGTAGTTGGGGAAAATACTGTTTTAAAAAAAGGCCAGAATATACATTGAATGAAATATGGCGGTGGGCAATCACATACTTAAATGTTTTTTGTTTGTTATATTTACAAGCTCGAGTGTGTTCCCATCATATGGTGTTTTAATGCTGCGAACTCAGAAAGAATACAATATTGAAATATTGGTATTAAATATAACAAATTGGTATCAGTACTAAAGAGATAATGCCAGTATTGGAAGTAGGCTTGTATGCTTATTTCCTTATATATTATACACACATGTGCATGCACACATACACACAACACGTGTGTGTGTGTGTGTGCGTGAAATATATTTAGGCAGCAAATATTCTTACAAACACGTTTTATAAATTCAACCGACATGGTCTGACTGTTTAATTTTTTGTAGTATTATTGCAGTAATTGTCCTTGTAGAAATAGCTTAAATATTAAACAATAAAGCTATAATTAGGTGAATACAAAAAGTTAATGTTAAAGTACAATTTTCTGTCATCAGAAATCTAAAGAAAACTGTTTCAGAAAAATTAAAATGTTTTAGTACAACTGGGAACTGCAAGACAGCATGCAGTAATGTCCTGTTCTTGTATGAGATACGCAAGTCTTTATTCATTTGACTAGCCTTCAGCAACAAGTGGCACAATTTCAAATTTGTAAAGATATTATTTTTTTAAAGCCATTAGCATTTTTGTCACTTAATTACAATGTCAAAAAAAAATCAAGTGCTTGGATTTATTTTAGTAGAAAAAGTAAAGATGAAACTGAATGCTTAAAGTGTAAAAAAAGTACTCAAGTGTAGTGGGGTTCAACAACTGCATTTTTTGTTTGCTTAAAAGCCATGCATAAGATGACCGATTTTGACTTGAAGAATGAAGGTAAAGCAGTTAAAAGACAAAAGATGTTAACATCATTTCTCACTCCAAAATCTGTCAAAGAAGAAATTACAAAACCTTGATACCCTTAGTTTTAGTTCTACTGCTTCAAGCAAATGTTCATTCAAGAAAGTCTGGCTAAAAACAAATATGATAAGTGACAACCAACTATGAGTCTGTGAGTAAAATGGTGAGCATTTTCTATGATAAGAAAAAGTGTGAACTGGTAAACCATTTTGAAGCACTGATTAGTGAATCTGTCTGATTCTGTGCCACTCTCAATTAATGTATATCCATCAAAAAAAGTGAGTTACATGCATATTATTAATGTGCATCACAAAGACAAGTATTGGTCCTTGAGTTTGGTTAAAATTCTTGGACGTCCTAATAGTGTTGAAATCATTGAGATTGTAAAAAAGAGGTTAGCTGATTTTGGTCTTGATTTTGATAAACACATAATAGCATGTACAATTAATGGTTCTTCAGTCATAGTGAAAATTGGGAAAGAAATTTTACCTGAGCATCAACAGTGTTTAATTCATGCAATGCATCTATCTATTCCTTTGGTTGTGTAGGAAAAGAGATTGCAAAGTGAGAATGATATCAGTGAAGAATCAGTCTAAGACAGTGAAAGTAAAGAAAAGGGGGTAGGAGGAGGAAGATGTCTATTGTCACATCCAATGAAATTTCAAGTGAAAATGAAGAGGAAGCAAATGAAGAATTAAAGTCTTTTTTTTCTAATATCTTCCTTCTAGAACTGCAAAAAAATCTCAGCATTCCATTACTTCAAGACAGTTTCTATGCTATAATAAATAAAGTTAAAAGAACCTATCAAATTTTTTGGAAGTCCCCCCCACTAAGAAATGATAAGCTCCAAGATTTTGTAAAAGACCAGTTTAACAGGAAAGAAATCAAGATAATCCTAGACTGCAAGACAAAATGGAATAGTCTTTTAAGCGTGATAGAACGATTTCTTAAGCTGAAACAATTCATCCCTAAAGCATTGAGAGTAATTTCTTTCACTGAGACAATCAAATCGAAAGTGTAGAAAATTTTGGAAAAATATGCTTCCACCCTTTGAGATATCTCTTAAAGACCTGTATTCAAGAGAAGCAACACTTCTGACTGCTGAATTCTCCTTCAAGTTCATTATAAAGAAACTTTCAGAGAAGAATACCCCACTAACAAATTCATTAAAAGAAAGCCTGAGTAATTATTTTTTTGATGTTAACATGGAATTTAAGAGCTTTGAAGTATCTTTAAAAAGAACAAAATCTAGACAAGCTCTGTAATGCATTACTTTCAATTAAGCTTACAAGTATAGAATCTGAAAGGACATTTTCAGCAGCAGGGTTGTACCTCATGAAATCGAGATCAAATCTTTCTGAAAATTCACTGAATAGTCTGTATTTCAAAATTAAAAATAATCTGATTAGTTTGCTTTTCACTAAAAGATTCTGTTATTTCTCTTGGATTAGTAATGTCTGGATTTTTTTTTTAAGAAATCTTTATTTTCATTTACAAGTATATTGAATTAAGAATATATACATATATATTACTTAATAAATATTACTATTTTGTTTGAATAAAGGTTTTCGCTAAAAATTTATCGTCATGTACTGAAAAAATTATTTTTTAAAATTGGTTCTTCCATAGTACAATTTGTTTTTATTTGCAAAAGCTTTATTATTGTTAAGAATAATTTTCTACATACTACATGTGAAAGCACATGCGATACCCTGCCCTTGTCAGCCACCAAATAAGGGAGGTAACAGTTTCGTTGGCATCACCAGCAGTTTTTGCCATCAGACAGAGTATTATTTTTTTGTGTAGATGTGTTAGTCTCTTGTGATTTTTTTTTTTTTTTTTTTTTTTTTTTTTTTGCAACTGCAAGTCAGATTTTAATGTTGTCTTAAAAACGTCTGCCTTCAGTTTGCCAGAGAGATGAATTCTGTTGATGGATTCAAGCCCATCTCGTGCCACTTTCTGCACCTCTTTACCTTAGTGCCACTCAGTCAGTGGAATTTCATACAGTCATCCGAGGCTCTTCACTGGTTTCTTTTTGACTGTCAGGATCATGTCACCCCCCCAATGAATAAGTGAATCCTCCTTGACAGAGCCTCTGAGTAATGATAAGTGCCAACTTTTCTTGGGTTTAGCCTTCATTCTCACCCACTTAAAGAACTTATGGTAGCATTGCAGTAATTCATTAGCACTGACCTTAGAGAGGACCAGAATGGTGATGTCATCCATGAACACACTTGAAAGAAGGAGGACCATTTGTTCTTTAGTCATCATTCCCTTTGCTGTGTCCGCTGGACTCCGTAATATGAATTCCATGGACATAATGAAAAGTGGTGGTGAAATCACACACCTCATCATGATGCCAATTTTGAGGGCTTGTCACTTGGTGGTGTTGTAGTTAACAACAATGAACTGCATTATCGTTGCTCTGAAATATTTCATTATGATTTCCCCATCCTTATTAGAGAAATTGAAAAATTCAAGAGACATTTGAATTAGCTCATGAGGAACTGCTCCATACACATTTGCAAGATCATGCCAAATTACATTAAGCTCAGTTTTATTTTGTTTGGCTGATAGGATTGAGTTCCAAATCATGTGTGAATGCTCCAGGTATACAAGCTTTCTGGACAGATGTATTTATGTAATGGTAACCTAGCAGGAAGTCTGTGATATGACAGGCAAGGAAGCCAAAAAATATTCTCCCCCGTACATTCAAGAGGGAGATGAGGTGGAAGTTGGCAATGCCCTTTGCATTCTTTTCCTTAGGTATCCAAATGCCATCCACAAGGCACCATTCTTGTGGTACAATACCTTGTTTCTATGCCCGCTGGAGGAGGATAGTGAGTTGCTTGTTTGGACAATTCTTATATAACTTGTAGGATATTTCATTTATTCCAGGTGCACTACCAACACAGGATTCATGAATTTCCCTCAACTTTAATCTGCTGTCATTAAACATGACCTCTGGATCTTGGGGCTTAAGAAGGTCATTCATAGCAAGGACTGGAATATCTTTCGATGCATCAGAATACGTCATCCTCAGGTGGTTCTCAAGTTCCTCCTGTGGTATGTCAAGTTTGATGCTCTTAGTCTCAGTAAACAGCTTTTTAGCAAAAGCATAAGGATTATTGCAAAATGATCTCCGAGATTGTCACTTTAGCTTCCGATGTTTTTTTAAATCCTTAAGCAGGTCCTTAAGGCCTGCCCTCTCATGAATTGGAACTTCTTTGAGTTGGCACTTCACAAATCTCTGCTCTGCTCTTAGATTACCCTTTCTGAACCTGTTGTCTGTTTTGGTCGCTTCTCTTTTCTTTCCTATCCCCTCTTGAAGTTGACACACAAAACCACTAAAGACAAACCTTGGGCACACCCTTCTGCAAAAAGATCTAATCTGCTGGCTAATGAGACCCCTTTAGATGGTTGGTAAGTATTAGTGTGGGTTCCTGATTGAGATTCAACTGAGTAGCTCTCTGATTTTCTTTGGGTCACTGGATTCTCCAGGGTGTTGACGCTCAGAAATGGGACCCCAAATACTGTGGATTTAATCCGGATTCATAATCCCATCATTCGGCTTACATTCTTCAATAGGGGAATTACATTGCCTGCACCAGCGTGCCTTATGGATATGTAAACCTTGCAGGTTGTCGAATTTTCTGCTGCAATCACACATAGCTGGTTTCAAGTCTATGTCATTATTATTTGAATCAATCAGATGTGGGTGATATATTCTCCTTTCCTGCTGCAGACACCCAGAGGACATTTTTCATTTGTTGTGACTGTCATATTTGCTTTAGTTCACTGAACTGAAATAATTATTGATTTTTGAAGTTATTTCTTATATCATTGAAGCTTATCTCTATAGATAAGCTTCAATGATATAAGAAATAACTTAAAGGGACAAATATGACTACATTTTTAATCAATAAAATAGATCACTTTCAAAAAAAAATTTTTTTTTTTTTTACCTTTGAATCCATGAAATAATTGCATGATTTTCTTAATATTGGTATTAAAATTTTTGTAACAGTATCGGTATCAACAAAAAATGGAAAGTTCAGTATTACAACATCACTACTAGGAGCATAGTTTTACAAGGTTTTATTATTTTTGATCATCCATACTTCAGCTGTCCCAGGATACACTTACAAATTTGAGTTCTTTTGTATCATATATAGGTAAGAAAAGCTGACTCAATACCCACTTGACCATTAAACTGAATTGATGGGTAACATTACCTGCTGTAAACAAATTGTATTTTTTCCATTTCATGTCAGCTGAGAATGTTAGCCTGAGAAAGTGCAACAAGTCACCTTCCTCGAGGTTAGCATCAGCCATGCTGATGTAACACAGAGAGGGGTCTCTCGGATGTTTAATGGAGAGAAGTTTAGTTTTGGAGGCATTAAAATTAGTGAGCCATTTTTGTCCCAATTAATGACAGACTTGAGGTTGTTTTGGACTGGCTGCCATATGGCCTTGTTGGACTGATCAGCCTTACTGATGCCAATTTGAGAGCTGATATCATTGGGAAAGTCATTAATGAAAATTAAAAACAAAGTAGAACCAAGGATGGAGCCCTGGGGGAAACCTGCATTGGTACAAAAGGATGTAGACACATGGTCATTCAGGATAACCTTCATTTCACAATTTGATAGGAAAGACTGGATCAGTTCAAAAATGTGTCTGGAGACACTGTAACTTTTCAGTGGAGAAGACCTATATATGAAACCCTTTCAAAAGCTTTAAAAAAATCACTATTAATTATAGGTTTCTACTTTATTTTGTAATCATTTTACCTGGAACAAGTCAGTAAAGCCACTATTATTAAGAGGAGAAAGCAATAAAATTAAGACAGATGACAATTGACACTGCATTTAAATTTTTGAAAATCAAAGTTAACTGGAAGGCAAGAAACAGGAAGAGAGTTACACAAGTAAGAAGTGTGAGAGAAAAAACTGTGGTTACATCCAGCAATTTCAGCAATGAAATTATGAGACCTACCTGCCAATCTAGTGCTACACTTAAATTTATAGAGTCGACGTACCAAAGAGAAAAATTCATCAGAACAGTTACCATGAAAATATTTATAAAAAAGGCACAGAGACACTATGTTATGGTAGTGGGAAAGTGACTGAAGCAGAGATGTCAGGACCTATAACCTGTGAATGTCCACTGTTCCAAAAATGGCATGGTAAGCATTATTGGGTTAATAATTCCTCTTCAATTATGACTGATCTTGTAAATCTGTATATAATTATTCCAATGTCATTTAATTCTAATTCTTGATTTGTTTAGATTAGCATCCTTATCTTAGTTTGTATCATTGTAATGTTTTGGCTGTTCTACCCTCTGACCTTCTTCAGGCATTTGTTGTAGCCTTCTTGGAATTTTTGCAATGAACTCTTTGTTCATTTCATGAAGGTAGTGTGTTCCTATTCTATTGTCTTTATTGGAGAGTACCCCATATTTTTTAATTCTATCAATTTTATCTGTCTTTGTGATATTGCTTGTCTCTTCCACTGAACTAGAGCATATGACTTTTTCTGCACAACCAAACCCAGGATTTGAACTCACATTTGCTGGGTAACTTGATTCCTTTAACCAACACTTTCATCTTCCAGTCTACTTGTTCCATAGGAGATAGATATATATATATATATACTAATGCTTATTCCTCATCTTAAAAGCTTATACATAAATTAACATAAATATATTTTTATTGTTAATGTTATCATACAACCTTCTGTTTTGCTTCTTTGTGGCCTTAAAGTAACCCTTGTTTTGTGTTATTGACAGGTAACTTGTTGACCTCCCAAAATTTCCAGTTCAACCTGAACACACCATCACCAATGCCTGCCTATCTTAATGTGCAGTACATCTGTGAAAGTGCATCACGACTTCTTTTCCTTTCTATGCACTGGGTGAAGTCAATACCAGCCTTTCTTCTTCTCAAGTAAGACAAATTATAATTTTTATTTGTTTATCTTTAAATAAGAAAATTTATTTCTATTTTTCTAATAATTTTCCTGTCTTCTTTCTTCTTACCCATAATGCATTGTTTTTTCATTTCCTGTTCTCTCTCCCCACTTTCTCTGTCCTGGGTATGATGATAAACTACATCCGCGTCCTGGGTAAGACAATAAACTACATCCAATAGCAAGGCCTCTGATCTGAGGAGCGTGGGACCACCTCTTAATTGCTGGTGTTCCCAGGTTCACCCTGACCCGGGCTGGTAGCACCTGTTAGGGTCCCAGCTATGGGCAAATAGTTAACCCCGAAACTGGGGTAAAAACACTATGAAAGTGTAAAAATAGGTTTTAATACCAGAAATACTTTGTAAAATATTATTACCAGAAATAAATTTTTGAAGGAAAAACTATTACCGGAAATAGATTTTTGACAAAACAAAAATATTACCTGAAAAAAAAAGTTATTGGCATTAAATGACCCATTGAGGTTGCTGTGATGTAAAACAAACCAAACCAAACCAAACTCTCCTCTTTCTATTCTCCACACTCTCTCTCTCTCTCTCTCTCTCTTACTACTCTGATAATCTTCTTCTTGTTTTGTAATGTGTTACTCTTCTTTAATCTATGGCCTAAAAGATAGCAAAAAACATTCATTTCCTGTTGCTAATTAAATGTAAAATGCAAATGATAGAAACATTTTTGTTGTTGTTATTTACTATAATCATGGGATGTGCAGGTGGTCTAATGGATAGTCGCTGAAAATGAGAAATTGGAGAGCTGAGTTCAAATTCCAGTCAATTTTGTTATTTGATTACATGCAAATACTCTTGGGAAAGGTATGAATCTATCTCTTCTCCTCCCAGCTAGGGGTTAAATAGTAGGACTTGTATCTAGAAAAATCATTAATATTTCAAAGAAATTGAATACATTAATACATTATTCATTTGCTGGGAAAAATATTATACAATCCCCAAAATATGTTTCAGCTTTAAATAACCCACAAAAACAACAATGAATATTATAATCACATGTGCAAGGAGAAATTTATGTCTGTGAATATGTTTCACTTTTTATTAGTCTAAAAAAGTGACAAATTATAGGGTGTTCCAATAATTTGGACCAATTTTAAATGCGAATTAAGTTTAAGCATCTAATGATTATTTTTTCTTTCAGATTTAACAACTTAAGTCTTTTACAATTTCAACCATGGAAAGATTAACAAATGTGTTAAAGTTATGGAAGCCTATTACGAAAATGGACATTTGAATTTATAAATATACAACCCAATGATTCTGCTAACAAAAAATGCACACCAGTAACCTTTTGTGGATGCAGTGGCTTTTCAATAATCTTCCTTGGATTTTCATCAGCCCAAATGTAACAATTCTACTTATTAACAAATCCACAAAGATGAAAATGAGCTTCATCACTAAAGAGGATTTTTCGCGAAAAATCTTCATCGGCTTGTCTTTGCTCTTGCACCCAATTGACGAATGTACGGCGCTCTAAATGGTCAGCAAGTTTCAGTTCTTGTGTCAATTGAATTTTGTGTGTAGAGACAAATCTTTTGTCAAAATTTGATGTAATGTTGTTCTGGAGAGGTTCAATTCCTGTGCATGATGACGAATAGAGGTGTCTAGATTTTCGGCTACATTTTTGTGCACTGCAGCAATGTTTTCAGCTGAACGGCGTAAACAAGTAAGCAATGGTGTTTTCACATCTGTCACCGACTCAGTTTGTTTGAATTTACAAACAATTTTTCTGATTGCACTCTTTGGTTGATTATGTTAACCCAAAAAATCGTGAAGTGCATGAAATGCATTTCTGTTTGAACGTCCATTTTTGTAATAGGTTTTGAAATTTTAACACCTTGTTTGATTGTTAATCTTTCCATGGTTGAAATTGCCCAAGACGTAAGTTGTTTAAATCTGAAAGAAAAAGAAAAAAAATCATTAGACGCTTAAACTTAATTCACATTTAAAATTGGTCCTAGTTATTGGAACACCTTGTATTATAATTGTTTTTATGTATGTAGATGTTTTTGTGTAAGGATGCTAATAGTTACTATTAGCATTAAATTGTGTCTTTTATTAATACACAAGCATAATCATGTCTCTTTCTGTGTTTGTGTGTGAGTAAAGTTGGATGAAAATCCAGTAGAATTTTAAATATATAAAACAATTTGGAAGATCTTTTACTTTGACATGTTTCACTGAAATAAAATTCTTTATCGGTTCATTTGTTGAAACACGTTAAAGTAAAAGGTTTACTAATTGCCTCATATATAAAGACAAAAAGAAATACTTAGTCGACGCATTTCGTCCTCTGATGGACTTTATCAAGACAAATGTAAGGATTTTATTTTGCAACAAGTATTTTTAAACAGAAGTAAAAATGTTGTTAGTTTTTCAGAATTTTGAAATTAAAGAATGTTCATAAATATATATCAGGCTAAGTCCATCAGTCAAGGTAAATTATGGAGGATGCTAAGTGATATAATTTAATGACTAATAAATGAAAGTGATTAAATATTAAGTATTTTTTTATAATGTAATTATTATTTATATTATTTTAATTGGAGATTATGTATTATTTATTTTAAATAATAGAAGGTTTTGTATTTAATTGTTTTCTTTTAATTTTAAAAAATTTTTTTATAGTCATGTATGTTGGCTTTAGAAAGAAGTATTTATTTTAGAAAAGGATATATATATATATATATATATATATATATATATATATATATATGAGATAAAGCTTGTCTTCAAGCAATCTCTCCTCTATACACACACAAATTTTAAAATATTAACACAATTTTGTGTTTTTTTTTCAAATCCTTATATTGTGATTCAAAAAGAAAAAATGTAATGAAATTTTCTGTCACTTTGCCAAAGTCTTTCAACTTTTCCCTTTTACAGCTTTTATCTAATGGTTACGTAAAATAACTTTGTCTTCCAAATCTGTTGCTAAAACTCTGTTTCTTAATTGAATTTATTTTTATTATTCTGGTTTCCTTACTTTGCAGCACAGATGTGCAAATGTTGTTGGTGAGAAACTCTTGGTGTGAGATGTTTGTCCTTGGTCTTGCCCAATGCTCACACTCAATGTATCTGCCTACAATTCTGGGTGCTATTCTCAATCATCTGCAATCCCCTATTGCATTTGGTAAATAAATCCTTTTTTCTATACTCTTTCTTAACATGTTAATAAAAATAGAATAAAGGAACCTGATATAAATGCTATTTTATACTTTATTTTAGAAATTATAACTTCACTTTAAAAATATTTAGTTTATAAACTTTGATTTCTTTTGTCTACTATGAATCTGGAATTCTTTTCTGCTCTTTTTCAAGACATAAACTAGTAATTTCTCAACCATCTATATGTTCTTTAATATTTAACACATTGGCTACCAGAGGTCAATTACAAAATCTTCAAACGTCAACAGTATAATAGCCAACTTTGGCAATAAAGATGATTTATGATTTGATTTATAGCTTCAACTGAAGTCTTAACATTGTTTTCACATTAAAAGTATCACTGCGAATAAACTCCTTGTTGGTGCCTGCAGATGAAAATGTATCAAAAAATGCCAAGCATGAGAAAACTCATAGTCAGCATCATAATAAAAACTGCCAAGTTTTGTTGTTGGAAAGTCAATGTGTTAAGTAAAAAGGAAAGAGTGCTAATAGTCAAAACAAGGCTCTTGCTACTTGAAAATAACTAGAAGAATTATCCGAATTTGCTTGAATTTTGTTTTTAAATATCTAAAATGATGTAGTCACATGAGTTTGTTATACTTTATATATATATATATATATATATATATATATATATATGCTGACAGACTTCAGTTGGTTAAGAAATGCTGATTTGGTCAAAATTGTTACTTTGAAGCAATTAACAACATAGCTCTTCTTTAGCTTAATAAAAATTTGAAATAACAAAACCAAACAAATAAAATAAAACATAAACCAGTAAAGAACTTCAAATTAAATTCTCATTTTACAATTCATTTTTTTAATACTTTACTAATTTACATAATTACTCTGTGTTTAATCAAGAATTTTTTTTTTTCATTGTTAATTGCATTATATATTCCTACACTTTATTCACGTTATTTACATTTGGACTAATGTCCACATTTTTGTTGATATCACATTTCGGCCATTGTCATTGTGCCCACCAGCCTTCATCAGGTGTATATTGATCCAGGTAACCTACAAGGAATTCTGAACTGAATCCTTTATTTAATCTACAGGAGGATACTGTTCTTGTTCCACTACATATGTCTAGAGATATCTTGTCTGGTTCTTAACTGAGCAGTACTGAAAATAAGAATGTAGATGAGATATCCCTAGACATGAGCACTGGAACAAGAACAGTCGATATATCACGACTTAAATTGATGAAGACAAGACAGGCAGCTGTGCCTGTTAGTGGCATACAGAATTTAAGTTTTTCTTTAGTATAATTATTCCTGTATAATACACACTTTTTAAAGCCTAAAATTTTGGGGTGAGTATATGAGAGTTAGACATTAAGTTTTTCTCCAGCCATGTGAGTCACCATATTCAGGACAATATGATTGAAAGCATGATTCAAACTAACACTGAACAAAGAGTTTAAATTACTAACTAAAAATTGCATTTGTTTTAAAAGAATAGTCACATAAATATTAAATATATTTTCATTTGCTATCTGTATCAAAGATAGATATGACAATTTCATCTATGTGATCAGTGTCATATATGTCATCGTCGTCTTTTCTCAAAAAGGATGTCATCTTCACTGCTGTCTAGCTTATTCATGATACATCATTTCTGGAATAACATGATGGTTTCAGGGATATTCTATCAGGCTTCCAATATCCATGTACATATAATGGAAAGTGCTAGTGGGCAAATGCAGCCAATCAGTGAGCTTTGGCTTGTCATTTATTCCACTTCAAGGAGTTGATACTGACATCCCATGGTTGAAGAACTCTGGTTTTCACACCAGCAATGATAACACCAGTTGACAATAATTCCAACTGTTATTAACCTGTTGATGGCACCTGAATGAGTAGGTCAAATAAGGATAACTATTTTAGCAGGCTGCCTGAATGTGTCACCCACATTATTTTACTTATGTAAATTATTATTTTTCTACCACTCGTCCCTTCAGCCCCTCAACCTCCGGCATCTTCCTCTTTGGGTTGAGGCGCCCACTCGGTCTGAACCGAACTCAGGGGTAGCTGGCCGCATGCTCCCTGAGTACCTGTAGATTGTTCGACCGTTCACTAGCCAAGTTCCTCCTGCTGCCCACGTTGTGTTAGTTTTTAGATCCAGTAAGCGGGGTGTTGTCCATAGGTCGATTGGGGATGTAGGCACAGCTGTGAGGGTGGTTGGCAGGAAAATTAGAATGTGGCAAACAAGGAAATAATATCTGCAGAAGCCAAACAACAATGGGTCAAATATTGATGTCTTATATAAGAAAACAACAACAGTAGAAAGAGTTTACAGAAAGGATAGAAAAGCAATTAACATAAGAACAGAGGACCACTCCTCTACCAATTATACCAACAGAGAGAGGTGTGTGTGTGATTAACTCGTTCCAAATCAACTTGGGAGGATATGTGACTCGTAATTCCAGCCCTACATGGAAGTGTAGCTTTTCAGTTGGTTGTCGTAAGTGACAAACGTTAAGTTTCAGCGACTTTTCAATGCGACTGCTACAACGACGATGATATTTCTTGAAGTTCTTATCTCTGACTCGCCACTGGACCGACTAACTGCAATGACAGTCTCTCTCTCTCTCTCTCTCAACGTCACTCTCGTCTAACGCCCAAGTCTCCCCAACTCGGCAAAACTCGTGTTTATGTAGCAAACCGAAGGTTATAAGCCAGGTTGTTCATGTGCTTAACACGAGTGTTGCCATAAACAAAGTTTAAATTCAGATCTATTTCAAATCTTTTAGTAGATAAAATTAATTAGTTCAATGTTCATTTCAATTGTCTTTTCGATGACCAAATTCAGTGGATACAACTTACGTTTAGATCAGATTTCGCTAGCAGTAAACATACACTGATCTTACCTCCCCGGTCCAATTTACTTCAATATTTTTTTATCAAAAATATTATTTTCATCTATATTTTTTTTTTTTTTTAATGACCCAAATTAAACATCGCCTCCTGCCCTTTTGCATTTGTTTATAAACAAGTCCTCGCCAACACGATTTGAAATTTATTCTTTATCCATCAGCCGTCTCAGGTTTCATATATCATTGTCCTAGATTCTTTCCTATTAATAGCGCTGACACAGTTTGTAACTTTCCCAGAAGATCGTGTTTTCCATCTTCAATCAATAAATGTTATATTTGCGTGTGTGCATTCATGTGCGTCAACTTCTCTCTGTTACATTTTTACTCCTTGAGAACTGGATAAAAAATTGAGCAAAAGCTAAATTTATATTAAATTTATCCACTACAAATTCCAAAAAATCAATGCATATGTGTCGTCGTTTTCTTTAGATATTCATAGCCCAAAGTTAGTGGTGTGCATATTATGCATGAATAATAATGGTATTTATTTTCTCATTTTTTTTTTTTTTTTTCTTTTCCAGATAAGAACAACAGTGATAGAGTAAAACTTGTCACTGATCATATCATGAAATTGCAGAGTTATGTGCAAACAATGGAAAATTTGGAAGTTGATGCTACAGAATTTGCTTATCTTAAAGCCCTCATTTTATTTTGTCCTGGTAAGAAAATACTTTTTTTTCTTTTTTTTTTTTTTTTTTAAATGAAATCCTAGGAGATATGGATTAAAATAAGTCACATGATCAAATCATCATTTTGCAATTTCCTAAAATGAGAATTTAGTTTCTCTAAGCTGTAAACCATCATTTAACATTTCTTCATTGAAACTAAACATGCTTTGATAAAGAGGAATTTCCAATTTTTCTGAGATGATGTTACAATAATACATGAATTCTTTCAAAACCAGTTTCTTTGTCTTTTCTACCTGTTATACCAGAACATTACCTATTCTATTGTAATAGACTCTCCCACACATAATAAGTAGTAGTAGTAGTAGCGGTTGCCAGTTGAGCTCAGTGGAGTTGAGCGAGTCAGTCGATGTTGGACATTGAAGTATCAACCATCACAACTAGATTGCTACGTCATTAACTCTTATTTCAAGTTCCTAACGTTTTGTACGCCGGACCCGTTTTAGGACCAACTTAGCGAAATACAAGCCTCCACTGTGAAAACTACTCTACAACACTATCACAATTATTTTGCTGTTGCATTATGTATGTAAGAATCCAGTAATATCAAACATACCCTTTTATTTGATCCGCTGGCCTATGTTAATCTTATATACCTGGATTCTTCTTGTAGCATTTCAGAACTTCTAACTCAATTCTTCCTTATGATACTGAGTTGTCTCTCCACAGAGCCAGTGTATATTTCTACCTTACCCAGTCACTGCCTAGTAATTAAAAACATTAGTATGCTTTAAGGACTGTTACTGGCTAAATACAATATTGCCTAATTCTCATCAAAACAACTTACAGCCATATCACAGTGAAACACCAGTTCTCTTCCAATCACCGAAGTTAAGCAATCTTGAGCCTGGTCAGTAGGTAGATGGATGACAGTTTGGGAATACCAGGTGTTGTAAGCTTAGATGTGTGCCTGGTGTGATGGATAACTGAACTGAGTTCCTGTTGAGGTTGTTATATTCACTTATGTACAAAAATACTCTTGAGAAAGGTATTAAATCCATCTCATCCCACCCAAGCTATGAGTTAAATAGCAAGATAGACTGAACTCTATAGCCTTGGTTGGCAACCAGTCTACTACAGAAAGTAAAGGCAGCCTATTGTGAGAATTCTCCTGCCAAATCAATCATGAATCGAAAAGAAACATAATTTCCCAAGCATACATTATGCATAGCACTTCATGAATTAGGAATTTATCAGGGGAGAGTACTCTACCTTTTAGAATTACCTTTACCTGTTTAAAAATCAATTAAGCTGTTTAAACATTTCGAAAATGTGCACCTTGAAAATACACCTTATTTATCATAAGATTTCCTTAAACAAGTTGCCATGAGGATTTTTATGAACAATACTGGCCAAAATCGATATGCATTTTTAATCAACATTACACTAATATTTTTATGTTTTAAAAGATGATAATAAAAGCATTGGCATGGTTTCTGCCAGACTACTATATTCATGAAGTAAGCTTCTTTCTTTGAATTTATTCTGTAATAGTTATCCAATGTCCTTGATAGAAATATTAGTCCAGTCAAATGATGATATTAATTACACATTAAAAGAAAGAAAAAAATGACTAACCATGTGTCATATAGGAAATAAATGAATGGAACCGTCTGTTTATTTAAATAAGTGGAGTGAGCATTAGGTCAATTACTAAGTGTACCTTTGTGGAGTAAACCTTGTATTTTCATTACTTACCTGCGAGTTTGTCTTCCTTATTTATTTCCCTCTGTTATCTCAAAAACATGAGATACGACATTGAGAATTTCTTTAAAAATGACTGCATAGATCACATAAAAATGTAGGTATCTTTTTGTTCTTTTATTTAAAGTAAATCTTTGTAAAAAAAAATGTGAATAAAGCAAAAATCTGTTTTGCCAATCTGTTGAAAAAACGTGGAAAATCCAGAACTGGAGGGAAAAAGTCAATGATGTGAACACCATTTCAAAAAATATTTGTAAATAAAAACAAGGTACAAATAACTCTTTAAAAAGTCAGAGATCGATTTGACTCCGTATTTATATTATGAACAGGACTACCCTTTCTAAAAAAAAATTTAATGTTTTTATTCTGACAAATGTTGTGCTTAGAGGAAGATCTAATGAATTCTAATCTACAAAAATTGATTTTTCCCTATTTATTTTCTATGAGTGGATCAGTTAACTTCAATAGTATCAAAAATATTTCCATATTTTATCTCTTTGTTTGTTTTATACATTGGCTAAATATTTTAATCTATTTCTCTTTCTTGACAGATAACACGTGCACAGACAGCAAACAAGTAGAGAAATTTCAAGAGAAGGCCCACACTGAATTGCGCAGCTATATTCAGGAGTTACACCCACAAAACCCTGACAGACTTTGTAAATTGCTTCTACGTTTGCCTGCCTTACGCTCTGTTAATCCTAGTATAATGGAAGAACTGTTCTTCTCTGGTCTGACTGGGAGTGTACAAATTGACAGCATAATCCCACACATTCTACGAATGGAAACCGCTGAATATAACTCCCAGATGGTTGGGCAGTGTGCACCTGAAGTCACTGTGTCTTCAACAGACACAGAAGTATCTGCCAGTACAAACTCTGTCACTTCACTGCCTGAATCCCGGGCATCGTAGGCTAACCCTTCCTTGTCACAAGTGTGACTGATTTCAGGACATTTAATTCTGGAACATTTATCTGACAACTAAAGATGGCTGTCAGGTTGGTTGGAAAAAAACAAAAAAAACAAATTCTGAACAGAATGGTTGTTGCCAGTCTGAAGAAGGGTGGAAGAAATGACCCCACAAAATGTTTTTTGTCTTTTGGATGGCCAAACAAGGATATTATTGTTGAATGGCTGCAAGTCTTCTTGTTGTTTTGTAAATCAAGACTGAATGGGGTAGCCAAGCGGGAGGAAACACATTGGATATTTTCAGCCTTATTCATCGGGTTGTGTTTTGTTTATAACAACAGATTCAATAGGAAATAGATAAATAAACAAAGAGAAATTGTCAAGGTTATCAACAATAAAATGAAACAGCAGCAGTAGAAAATGTAAATTGTATAAATTAACTGAGGCAGAAACTGGATAAAAGGTTTTAAAAAAAAGGAAATTGATGTTTTTTTAACTGTGATATTTGCTAAAATAATTTTTAGAGATGGATTTTTATACTGCTGTGAAAAGGAAAACATGCCTTGCCATTGCAGCTGTTTCAAGCTAGACATCATTCTTGTTTTTTGCATAGAATATAGAAAAAAGTTATTTATTCTTGGGGTAGTCATTATATAAGGCTCTATGCACAAATACTAAAGAGATGATCGTATTGCAGTCTACTTATCTGATTTCTATTGTTTTTATCTTAATCACATACAACACCTCATATGAGTAAGATGTATTTCTAATATCTGATTATGAAATGTGAAACTTGACAAACATGCCCCAATAATAATGAAAAACATATAGATATTTTATTAAGACTACTTATGGGAAAGAATTGGCGAACTTTTAAAATTGAGCAGTTTTCTTTTCATAGCTTTTGTTCATTTTGCTTAATAGATTAATATAAGAGTAAAATAAATTGGACAAATACTTATTCTGAACAATGAGCCAACCTGAAAATGTGTAATTGATTGTGGGAATTTGGACTGTGAAATCTAGACTACACAATGGTTCTAATTTACATCTAAAGTTGCATTGACCAAAAACAATGGCTGTCATCTCCTGCATGTGTTATTATTTGAGGTTTCTTCTTAATCTAAAGGCTATGACTTGTCTCCAATTTTTGACCAAATAATTTAAATAGTTTCACTGATTTTCATACATAACAGAAACAATTCCTGCATCTAAAAACCAGCCCAATTATTTTTCTATTGCAATACGTTTTTAATTGATGAAAGCTTGAATTGTTGTATACATAATTAAAAACCTATTGCAGGTTCACATTGATAAATCAGTCCATATCTGTCTTTACCTATTGTATTGTTCTTTTGTCCATGCTTTTGTCATTTACATCCATCCAGGATTTTGATGCAGATCTTAATTAAACTTATCACAGGACAACAATGGTGGAGCACCCAGTGAGGATCACATTTATAGGCATTGGCCTATGAGTCTAGCTTGTTAACCAATACTCTATGACAAACACTTTTCCAGAATTGATTTATATGCCTATATACATACATCTAAACAAGAAAATACATATTCAACTACTTTGCAAATGTCATTTGCCAATCTTGTTGGCATTGGCATCTTTTATTTGTATGTTATTGAGCCTCTTCAATGACGTGTCAACAGTGTTAGCTATTCATCACAATTTATGTTGCATTTTTTTTTTTTTCTACACAACCTAGCACCACCAATGTTCTTTCTATACCCTTTTTAATATCCATCTTTGATTCGTCTGGTGCTATCCACATTGAAATTAGCATAAAACTCTTGCATTAACCATGGCTTGAGAGTTGTGTATCCATGAAATCTGTTTCATGTTTTTTTTTCTTTTCTTTTTTTTTTTTAATACTGGGAAACTTGCAACTGTTTCTTTGTTGTTCATGTTTTGTTGTTTCAACTTAACCCCCCACCCCCGTTTTTATGTTTTTAATAACAAAAGTGCTTTGCTTAAATCTTTTGTTATGCTATCCAGGTGTGTGTATTACAGGCGCACACTTGCATGCCCGTGTTGTAATGATGGCTATCCTGTTTTGAATTTTCTGTACAGAATCCAATATTGATGAAATCAATAGAAAGTCAAGAAAATTGACAAATTTGATCATGCCATACAAATAGAAGAAAAAAAAAAAATAGAGATGTCTATTGAGAGGCATTGCCAATTCTTCTTCCAAAAGGATTCCAAATTTAGTCTGTCATATTCCCCCTTCTTTTTAATTGTGGTACCTCACTTTCAAATGAGGGCATGCATAACTGCCTCATAGATGACTGTGCTGTGATTGTTTGTCTTGTTTTTAAGCTAATGTGACACTTTGCATTGTCTTGTAAAATTATAACTTTCATTCTTAAAGAGGTTTTACTTTGAATTTTGGCAAATCTGCTTGCATAAAGGTAAGAATTGATTGTGGCGTCATTGGTCATAAGCTATAACTGTATGATTCTCTTCTAGCTCTAAAACGCAGTTTAATGTGCTGCCATAAATTTATTCTTTTTGGATAGCACCATTCTTTGATCTTCTTTTACTCTTTGGCTAATAGTGGTGAATCCAGGTTTCATCTCACTATTCTGCTTAGGAAAGTGCTATCATCAATGTTGTGCACCTTCAGAAGTTCTTGGACAGCAAGTCCTTTAGAAGAAACAACTTTGCACAGACTTATGAGTAGCCAAAAGACTTGCCAAAACTGCAGACTCATTTAGGGCTCACCTGGAGAATTCTACAGAGTTTTCTAATAATGATTCTTCTATCAGCCATACTGTGAGCATTAGCCTATATGGCCTTGTTTTCATTTACAGCAGTAGTGACTGAACTGCCATTGTAAGGTGTGTTACTAAGATCAGTTTTTCCTTTCTCTCTAGGATTGCTAGTATCACTACTAGCATATCGGCTTAATGTATTAATATCAAATACAACCTTTCTATAAATTCCAGTGAATGTTTGTAGCACCCTCCTTCCAAAAAAAAAATTTCTATAACACCTGTTTGGATTCTGTACATGCCCATCCAGATGGGCAGTTGTTTTAAAAGAGGATTATAATTAGGAAAAGAGATGGTAACTTCATATTTCTTTCCCTGTGCTTCTAGACACTTTATGGATTATTGCTGAAAAAATATTCTGCCTAATTCTTTTAAAATTAGATTAGAACAGGTATTATTTTTAACCAACTCTCAATATGTGTGTGCCTGTGTGATCTGATAATCATTTATGGTATGAGACTGCCAGTCACCATGCTGCATTAATTTCTATATCCACTGTTTTCATCTCCAAATACTTCATCCATTAATATGACAAATTTCAAACAATATTATTATACACCCATCCAATAGAATTGGCATTACTTATCACAAATCCAACATTCACCTGCAGGATCAACTAATTGGTGCTTTCAAACAAACTGAAAATATATATATATATATATATATATATATATATATATATATATATATATATATATATATATATATATATATATATTACTGCTCAGTCATTGTTAGAGTTTTCAAATAGAGACCATAAAATCCTGAGTTCAATTCCTGCTGCTGCCTGTTTGGTTGTGTGATAAGTAAAAAAAGGCTCTAAAACAATTTCAATTTCTGTAATCTAACAACTGCAGGACTCCAAAGGAGAAAATATTTTGTAACTTAAAAAACAAAAACAAACTTGTTTTTTTTTCATGGCTAAATGAATTCTTGTCATTGAGATTTCACTGGCCAGTTATAGTTTGTCTTCATCTTTATGTGAATGATGTGATGCAGCAATTTCTTATTCAGCTTGTAGCTTTTGCTGACTAGTATGCCTCCTGTTGTATAATTTTGTGGAACTTTTAACCTACTTGACAGGATTCACTTGGGATTCCGTCATTTGCTAATCTTATTTCTTTGAGTCCCAGGACGTCTTCAAAGTTTAAGTATGCAATAACTCTCAAATTATGACGAATTTGGGTCCAAAACAATGTATTTCCTCAAATCAGTGTATAAAAAATATTCTTGTTTAAATTATTTCCATTGATTAATATTTGTAATGGATGAATTTGCATTATTTTTCAATCTCAGTAATTTTGTGTGAAGTTTAACATTTGAACACTGGTTTGCATATCATGTGAGTACATATGCACTCATCTGTGAGGTTGGGAATCATTCTTCGTACAGTTATCAAGCGGTTTGTCTTTGTAAGAAGAAGTGGTTACTCACTCTGATTTTTATATTTTTCTGTGCTTGTCACATGGCATAAGTTTAAAAAATGATATTATGCAATCGATGCTCAAGTTTCCTCTATTCAAAATAGTCTTTCTGTATTCACTTTGCAGTCACACTGTTATTTTCAATTCTGTCAGTCAATGACACAGAATGTCTAGATGTCTCTCTACGGCCAGCTGTGGGCATATTTTCATGTTACTCTTGTGTTCTTCAAAATTAGGCTGCATATTGTTTTATCATCATCAAATCACATAACCAGCTTATATACATGTGGGTTCTTTTTGTTTATTTTTTAATGTATTTTTTTTTTTTTTTTTTTTTTAAATCATATTTAATATTCAGAAACATTTCTTGTAATATTTGCATTCTTCTAAAATTCCATGTCCAGGTTCTTTCTAGTTTTGCACATGGAGAAATTCTCATCATTTTTCCTTTTTACAAAAAAAAAGAGTTTTACAAAGAAACAGTCAATCTATTGAAATGAACATTGGTCAGTCAGTCATTGTAATTCACCTTAATGGAGAATAGATAGAAAAATATTGATGTGAATGATCATAAATATCTTCAGAATTGATCTGCATTAATTCTTTTTATTTACTATTAACCATTTTTAATTGTCATTCCTTCATGTACCATGACATGACTGCGCAAAAAGCTTTCTTTTTATTATCAGAAAATTCTAGCTTTAAATGTCCATCTATGAATTTTATAAGAATATAAATTAAACCTTAGCTTTATAAATGAAATAATTTGTAACATGTTTATATTTGTAATGTG